CTGACAGTAAATAAGCAGTGATAAGCAGCAGGCAGCTTCAGTCGGCACCCTCACTTGCAGGCTGTTAATGACCCAGCTTCTCTCGTATGTCCCTGCCTAACCCTCGCCTTCCCATACCCCCCTCTGCTCATACTGTAGGCACGTTCTTCCTCGCCTTCATCTGTCTGATTCCCCCTCTGTCTGTCTGCCTCCATTTTGTCATCACATATTCTCTTTCACTCTCATTTTAACTACCTCCCTACTCCTTCCTCCAGCACCCTCTATTGACTCTATTTCTTCTTAATCTGCTGTTAACCCCCCCTCAAGCCCCCCCCCCCCTTTCCCTCATCTCTGTCTCCCACCCACCTCCCATCTGACACATCATTCTGAGGTGAAGACGAGCGCAGCATCCCTCACCGTCCTCCAATGAGCAATCACGCCTCTCTGCAGCTCTTTTCCCTCATTCCTCACAGTTTAAACACACGGAGCTGCAAGGTCAAGTGTGTTATATTGATGTGTGCCGCTGTATATATCTCTCTGTGGTTTATTGGTGCTTGTGTAGGTGTGCATCCCCGTATTGTGTATCTGTGTGAGGGAGTGTGCATCTTAGATCAACGGTTAAAGAGATTCAGTCCACAGCAGCGAGATGGCCAGCAAGGTCAAGGCCGACTCTGTGGCAACACAAATTGTTCCGCTCGGAAATCCTTCCTTCTCTGGGGGCACGCAGATCATCTCGCTTCGCTGTTAAAAAAACAGTTTGAAAGCCTTCTGACTGACAGAAAATGGACGTGTGTCATTGTTAACACAGCCCTAAAGATAATGCATGCATGCATTAACTTTTTTTTTTAAAGCATGACTTCTTTGTTTTATTTTATTTCATTTTCTTATTTATTTGTTGTTGGTTTAACGAAGTGGAAAGTGAGGGGGAGCTTAGCGCTAATTTTACGCCTTGTTTGTTTTAATTCTATTAGCCGTAGCCCATCTTACATGTTTTTCATTAGCTGTGCGTGGATTCCCTGAAAGGCTAAATCCTTTTTAACCTATTCAAGTCAGATCTTTTTTTATTCATGCATAGAGTTTACTGTAACACACCCACCTTTAAACAAAATCCCAATGCTGCTAAGGCTACAGCTGACTTCTGACACGGTGCCTTGCGGCATCTGTATATATTGAATATGTGTTCCATTCAGCTTGCCAGCATCCACTATGAATCCACATGCAACCTGTGACTGTTAATATGTCACCCATAACAGTGGGTCTATTCTATGTCTGCCTCTCTCCGTGCATTTGTAGATGGATTAAAGCAACACAAAACATCAAGAAGGAGGCCATGTTGAAGTACTAATTGTACGTTTGGTTTGCGTCTTTGAGATCGCTGTGGCTGAATCCAATGGGAGGAATATTGTGGGTGGGAGGTGTTTTCTGTGTTTGTTTACATGTAATTTTCCCACCAGTCTTGCCAGTCGCTCAGCGCATGTTGAATTGATCGATTCTTCTTTTACACACAGTATGTTGCTCTTTTTTTCCCTGCCTGCTCTAGCTTCTTCCGACTTGTTGTTGCCATGCTGCCTCACTCCTTTTTTCCCTTCATTTTAGCTCTTCTTTTTATTATTTATTTTTCTCATTTTTGTCTTTCTGGATGGGTATTTCTACCTCCCTGTGCCCCTCAGTCTCTAGCTGTGCTAATATCTCTCTACAGCTGTCAGTGATTTTGCAGTTCCGGCTGTCTCTGCATCTCTCTCTGGTTCCTTCATACTCTTACTCCCTTGTTATACTGCACTCTCGGCTGTCACTGCCTCTCAGGACCTCATTTTAACACTCCTCCCTCAGTGCTGCCTTCTCCTACAGTACTTCATCCCTTCTCTTTCTACTCGTTCCTGGGTCCTCGTCTTCGATTTCTTTCTTCTTGCATCTCTTACCGTATCCAGTCCTCTCCCTGCCTCTCTGCTTCTCTTCAAAGGAGTTCATACCGGGCTTGGAAATCTTGCTCTACACACCACCCTCCAGGTGCGGATTGTTTTTAATGAATCCTACAAACCCAGGACTGAGAGCTGACACGCTGATGAATTCATACACACTCTCTGCTTGCATGTATACCAGTACTGTATGCGTGGCTACCTGACTTCAAGAACACACACACACACACACACACACACACAAAATTCTTAAGGACTCACCAGTAAAAACACAGGAAACGCACAGGGGCTTCACTAACATGGGCTTTTGAATACAATTTTCTTGACAGATTTAGCCAAATTGCTGTTATTTTCTGCAGATTGGCTCTATTCTCTGAAAAGACTCAAAACTCCAAAATGGCAACATTTCAGAAACTTCAGGAGCATTTTTGATTAGTTTTCAAAGGATTTTACGGTCATGTGAGTTTGGAGGCTTTCCTTAAACTTCAAGTTATCTGAAAAATGAAAACCTGCCAAATTTTGAAGATATAATTTTTACTGTACAGCAGTGGCATAGAGTGTTCTAGGGAGTCTATGAGACAGGACTCCATTTACTCAATGAAAGGACACAATTTGTAGGTAGGTTGATTGATTAATCGACTCTAAAGATCTCGCTGCTCTCAGAAATGTGTTTTCCTTCTTGTTCCTTCTCTTGAATGTTTGAGCTTCATTGTACAGGATGATGTATGTGCAGAGTTGGACACTAGAAGGCTGTTTGCACTCTCAGCTGCTGAAGTGGGGGCGTTTCTCTGTGCTCACCTAAAAACCGGGAGGATTTGGTGACATCACAGAGCCAATCATAGTCCAATATGCAAGTATGGAAGCTTAAACCCTTCAGTGCACGTACAATGAGAATGGACTTCTTGTGAAGTAGATTTCATTTGTCCAGTTAAACTTTAGAAATCATAGATTCTTTAAGGAAGGAGGAGTAGATATAGAGTACATTTTAAAGAATACCTCATTAAAGTAATGAGGTAAATAATGATGTAATAATGAGGTAATTGGACTTTTTTTAAATACCACATTAAAAATTATTAGGCAGAGAAGCTTTATATGACTTACAACATATCTGGAGGGAACATCATCATTTTTGTCCTGTATCAAGCAAAAGCGCTATTTCTAGTGTCTCAAATGGAAGGATTTACTGTTTACTATCAGTATAAATTGTATTACAATGTTGTTTTGACTGTTAGTTGGATAAAACAAGAACTAGCAACACTCTTGGAAATGTTAATTGGGATTTTTATATTTAAAGATAATAAAATCCCCAAAAGCTCTTTCACTAAAACCCTCCATAATATCAGTTGAGGACAAAATGACTGATATTTCATATTTAAACAGTAAGGGTGACAATATTTCATATTTTTCCCTTAACAAATCCAAAGGAAGGAGTAAAACCAACAACGCTCACAATACTTTCTGACTTGCCCCAAGCCCATTTGTCCATTAGTGAAGATTTAAAATTTTAAAAACATCTAAAAGATATACTTTCTTTCTTTAAATAAAGGCTGAATAATTTCCTTAAACAGTCAGCAGCAGCTGTAGCTTTCAGCAAATGTCACTGAAAAAGGTTTAAATAGTGTATTTGTGAGGGACTATTTTCGGCTGCAGATTTGGTGCTGCTGAAAATAATACATCCCTGGTATAAATGAATAAAGAAATAAGCTTTATTTATGCCAACAGGACGGTTCATGTTGGATTGAGTCAAAATGAACGACAGTGAGTTCATACACACTGTGTTTTTAAGAGCTCTATGGCACAGAGGAATAAGCTATATCTGACAACTTCGTCAATACCTGTTAGTAGGATTAATTTATTATTGGTTTTAGTGTTTTCATGGAATTTGTTGGCAGTAAAAAAAAAACATAAAATATCACCCGCCTTATTTTTTAATAAAGGCAAAGGTTCTGAGTATAAGCATAAGCACACACTCTGATCCCCTAGATCAGAGAGGTGGCTGACAGCATTAACGTAGACACACTTGTATTCTTATTGAAGAGACGGAGGTGCTTCTGTAGGGTTAATTTGAAGCCAAGGCATCATATCTCAGACCTGCCTCCAACACATGGCCCTCCTACACATTAAGTCTACAGCCCATGTGAGTGCGAAGGCCCTTCTCCTGACACGTATGTACTTCAACAAGCCATACTGGTAATGAGCGGGTGTCAGCACTCGTCTCCACCCATCGCGCACACACACACATCTTCATAAGAGAGTGATTATTGGAGATGTCAGGCGGCTTAGGGAATGACCATTTGAAATTGAAATCATCTAGCATTACACTAAAGGGAACTATTAGCCATCTGAACTCAGAATGGAAAGGCAGAGCCTCTTAGACCCCTCTGCTCATGCAAGCACTCCACACGGAAAAAAAACCTTGAGAGGCAGCAGTCAAAACACCTCGACACTGGTCAAAACATTTTTTTTTTTTCATCAAATTACACTCAGCTGCTGCAAACATTTGCATTTGGATGCGTCATGCTTTGACTGAGTTTTGTACGGATGTTTCATTATGTTTGCTCTGAACAGATGGAAATATTGATAAAAGGGAGGATGGTTGGCAGTGAATCAGGCAGGAAATTCATTTGTCCCATCAAAACACTCTCATCTGATGGGAGTCAAATAAGGAGAAAAGGTGAGATGAATATAGATCACCTGTTCCAAACTTAAAGAGCTGCTGAGAGAGTAATCTTTTCAACTCTTATCATATAAAGTGTCTTTGTGCATTTCCAGGTAATTCCAGGTTAATGGGCTTAGGCAACATGTTGTTTGCTATGCTTTGACTCATAAACAAAACAAAACTTTTCTCTCAAAAACCTGCCCACATTACCTGTGCCACCGCTTCTCCTCCCCCTCATCATCTGTTCTCCTTTTCCTCTCCTGCCCTTCTTCCTTTTACCTTTACAAACCGACTACTTTCCATCCACGCTCCTACCCCCTCTCTCATCCAGCTGTCCTCGACATCCACACGACCCTTCTCTCCTCTACCTCCCCTCTAACGTGCTCTTTTTTAATCCCTCCCTCCATCTGTGCAGCTCCTGTGCATCTCTGTCATCTTTCCCCCACCTTGTTGAGCGTGATGACCGCCTCTTGGTTCACTCCGGTGATGTTGAACGTGTCCCCGGTCTCCCCCTCCAGGATAGTATATTCCAGTTTGGCGTTCTCACCGAGATCGGCGTCAGTCGCCGAGATCCGCCCTATCTCGGCACCCGGGATGGCCAACTCGGAAACAGAGAAGGACCACATACCTGGGAGAGACACATGATGGCACGCGTTAGGAAAGCAAGCTTTATCATTTCATGCACCGATACACTTCATTTGTCAGTTAAACATTTAATTTTGTCTTTTGACCTGCTTTCAAATGGCTGTTCCCCGCCTATGAGCCAATATTTACAATATTTCATTCAGATAAGGACGGCATTTAATTTAACAGAACTGAGAGGATGAAAGAGAGAGATAAAGGAAGAGAAAGGCATTGAGATGTTATTAAAAGCCAGGAGAAATGTGGCCAGAAAACCTGCTGTAAAAAAAAACCAAATTAAAAGAAGCTAGGATTAAAAAACAGAAGGAACAGTGGAGATAAAGAGAAAGCAAAGATTACAGGTAAGAAAGGCTGCTCTGTCTCCCTCAAAACATTTGAACTTCATGATAACTACTCATCACAAACAGCCACTTTTTAGTCTCTGAGTCGTCCATTCCCTTTTCCTGCTAACAAGTATTAGCCAAGATAAGAGGTTCTTTAATGTGTGCTGCCGTCGTGTTTGGGCCCATTAAAGCAGCACATTATTAGAGTCCTTCTGCTGGCTTTGCAGTTTATATTATTGGGACACGCAGTACATTACTCTAATGATTCACCTGATGCACCTATCTGATGAAAATATGGATTACCAGACGCAACCTGCTACATCCGTGAACTCGCATTGCCGCCTAAAAAGCACAGACAAGCACGCACACATAAATTCAAATATCCACCTACCACTTTATTTGAGCCTAACACACACACACAGCGGCCACCGGCTGCACTGACAAGAATAAGTATGGTAGGAAAGATAGAAATTGAGCGAGGGAAAAGGTAAGATATCACTATTTGGCTCGCACACACAGAACAGACAGGCTCATTCAAACAGAGCTGTTATCTCGGCTAAAGCTAAGGGAATCAGATAGACCTGTAAATGTGAGCGAGAACAACATCGTGCAAACACATTGGGTTGACAGAATAAAAGATAGCCAGCACTTCAACAAGACAGTATCTGGGCCAACACGCAGTCTGACGAATTCTGTGAATCTGACGACATCACAGCGAGACAAGAGTATTACACTTTGAGGATCAGGATTATGGTTCAGACATCAAAGACGCACCGGCAACCAAAGTTATCACTCGGGGTGTTTGATTGTTGGCTTTTTAAGTCTGTTGATGTCAAATGTGTAATGTAGTCATGTAATAATTAATTTAAAAAACAAGCAGAAGGTTTTCTGCTCCAACAAGTCCTCCAACCTAAACCACAAAACAGGTTGCCAGAGCCTTCTGAGACATACGCGACCATTACGAAGACGATTACATTTTCATTTTCTCTGATATGTCACTACTGATACTGCCTGAATTTGCTTATATACACTGAGAAGAGGACACAATTGTGATGCAAAAAATGTTGGTTAATGTAATCTTTTCTACGGTTACATTTTTCTGTTGTCTTATAAAACATGTCAAAGTCACCTTATTGATATTTGTATTATCTTGTCTTTATTTGCATATTTGGTGTTGATGTAATCAAATAACAGAAAGTAATCAAGTAACATTACTGTAATACTGTGATTCTTGGAGTTAGTTACTAATTACATTTTTTAAAAGGTGATCAGTAATTGTATTGGATTACATTTGTAAGCAAACTCTCCCAACTAGGAATGTAACGATATATCGTGAGACAGTTCAATCACGATACAAATTTGTGGAAATTCATATAGGTGAGATGAGAAATACATCGTGATACTCTTTAAACAGCAGAGGGTGCTCTCTGCTTTTGACTACATCATTTGCATCAGCTGTATAACGGCGTAAAGACATGGCGGCTGCAGGTACTGAGGACACGCCATCCTGTTTAAAATCTGAGGTGTTGGAGTCAGAAAATGAAGAGAACTGTATCAAATGGTGAGTTGTGTGTATTGTTACGTCCCTATCTCCAACCCTGGTCACGTGTTGGGTAAGTTTTGGATAAGTTTTGTTAAGCAAATAAAAAAGAGAAATAGAAAAAGCCCCAATAACAATCCAAACCCCCAAACACAAACAAGATGGATTCTCTTCATTCAGTAAATAGAAGAAAGCAATAATATTTTTCTGTAAATGTTATTTCCCAGTATGAAAGTCTAAATGTCTTTTCCTCACTAAAACTCTGGTGGAATTTATTTATTTTTTTATATTGAGCCTAAAAAAACTGGAATCAGTTAAACCAATGCTGTAAGTTTTATTGTATCATGTAAACTCCTACAGATACAACATGACGTGACCTCTGTGTTCTCTATGGTAGCTACGGTCCTGATTAAAACCACTTGATCATGGTCAGACAGCGATCATTATCAAGGTCATACACTACCAGCATTGACTGTTGTAGGAAACGGGGTGTAAACAGCTGTCACCAGTCTCCAACTCCAACCTTTTCCCTACAGACCTGTCTACACAGGAGTCCATCTCAAATGTATTTGACAGGACTGTTGAACACTGCTGTTTTAATCAATACAGCTGTCCACATGAAGGATCACGTTTACATGCATGACATGACCCAAAGTGAATGTGTATGCCTCAAGTCTATTTTCTTCTGTTTTACATGCGTAACTTCAGTAAATGTGTGCTGAGTGCTGCCAAAACACAGCTGACCTACTGTGCCTCAACACATCCAGCGTAGATCCTGACACAAGACTGAAGCTGCTGCTCTGCTAACACACTTCTGTCACAACACCAGCTGTGTAGACAAGGTTTAAACGGTTATACAACAACTTCAAGGTATTTGCATAAAGGTTAAAAGGTAAATAATCGGTTAGACAGCCACCTTCCTAGAAGATTACGTGTAGAGTTAACTGCAGCCTTTGAGTATAAGAAAGTGCTGGCACTATAATGATGCATACTATGACAAATATATGGAGAAAATGTAGAACGCTGGATTTAAAGAAAATCCCAACTGGTTCTTATTACTGCTAACAATGATTCATTATCTTCTCATTCTTCGGAAGTCCCTTCCACTTATTGACTCTAACGTCTGTGTAGAACATGGACTCTGTTTTTCTGCAGAAACTGAGCACCACAGTTTCCACTGAAGTGTCACCTAAGGGCATCAATCTGGAAGATAAGCTACTGTATAGAGTGGGGTTTCATACCGAACAAGAAGAAGGAAGAAAATTGAACACAGTGGTGCAAAGGCGAATAGAAATCAGTAACCCTGTCATTTCCCCGGCTGACAAACAGTTATCAAATTAAGAATCAACATGCTATTGCTGTGGTAATAGAGTCAACAACAACAGCAGCCGAGATGGATCTGATGGGATTAACACACGTTCCTTCTTGAGCAAGGTGAACCCACAGTGAATCCAGGGTGCACCACAGGGGAGCCTGAAGAGCTTGGCTCTTCTCATAAAGACATGAGCTCTCCTGAAAACATGATTTGTAAAATTTTGGGGGCTCTATAAAATATTGACAAAATGCTATTTATGCCATGTGTTTCTTTTTTCTGTATTTTTATCATCATGGATCCTGCGTAAAAATAGGCTATTATTGATGTATGATTCATGCATTAAGGTGATTCAGCAGTGATCTTTAATTCAATTTAATAAAGATACCGGTGTGCATGCTATTCTTGCCATCATCAAGTGTGGCAGGTGACACAGTACCATAAACTTCCATCACTTTAACATCCTTGCAGTGATAAAGGTTTCAAAGAGAATCACAGTTAGTCCCTCCAGGCACGTGCAAGCACACAGACACCATCGGGCTCAGAAAAAACAAAAAACGTAAGCTCCCCCGAAAGTCATGGTATAGTTCGCACACATCAAACAGTTTTACATTCACATTTTCTATAATCGCCCTTTATATTAAAGTTGTTTCCCAGCTATGATCTCTGTGTTCACCTGATTTGCGAGGAAAAATTATTCTGAAAAATACTCATACAAATCAAATTTATTATCAGTTTATTAGTGTTTGGTGGCTGCTGCTGTGACGGCTGTTGGGATGTTTGCCAAAAGATTCTCAATGGAAAATTATATGACAGCACAAATTACACAGATTCACTACTGACATACGTTTTTCATAGTTAAGTATGCTTAAGTGGTTAGCTGCTTGCTAGCAGCACACATTACAAGCAGGGGGTGTGAAAGTGGCATTAAGCTCACTGTTGTCCTTATGGCTCTAAAGGGCCATGAACTGCCCCTATTACCATACGCTCCTCTCTAGGATGCTTCTTTTTTTTAACTTTACTATATTTACCTCCAGGTGAACGACTGCTTCCTCCACCTCCTCCTCTCCCTCTTCCCTCGATGCTCTCAAGGAGTGTTTCCCACTGCTTTAAGTCGAATGTACAGGATGTAATAGCTAAATTCAATGCACTTACCATTACAGACTAATAGCTACTTTTTGAAAAGAAACACCGGAGAGATTTAAGGTTACTTAAAAGTACAAAAATACTTCACAGCTTGACATAAAAGGAACTCCTTTAGTGCTCTTATTTGTAAAGAAGAATGTATTATTATTTATTCATTATTCTTTAAATCCCAGAATTATTATACTATTTTGCTCTCTGTGAATTCCTTCTTATACCAGAAGTGCCAATTTCCCTACATTCTTATATTTTAAAAATTGTATCAGTTGGCTCCAGTTCTGAGTGCCCACAACCATTGTTTCCACTCGGATTAAAACACTCAGGCACAAATGATTTCAAGCCTATAAGAGACATGAAAAGCAAGTTTATGCAGAACATATTTGCATATTCACTCATGCAGCATCACATCCATTCATATAACTAATGCATGATATGTTGTTTATGGCTATGTTTAGGCACTCGAAGCACTTAAAGTCAAGTTTTGGTCTTGTTTTGATATGGAAAAGGTCAACTGTAACTAGAATTAGATCACATTCACATGGGCACCCTGGTGGTCAGAATGTGATAATGATAACCAGCATTAACCTTTTCAGCAGTTTGAGCTACAGTAGCTCGTCTGTTGGATCGGACCACACAGACCAGCATTCGCTCCGCACGTGCATCAGTGG